ATGCATTAGATACCAGGATGGACCAAATGAACAGATTCCATGTCATTTCATTTCCATGTTTTTCGTTTGTATCAGTTTTTACTATTGTAATTATAATCTTCAATAAAATTACTATTAAAATATTTGTTGATAAGCAGTATTGTTAGACAAGCAACCAATCATTTCATTGCCTGGGCTTAACCCATGGCACTGGAGAACTTGGGAATCCAAGCCTTCTATAATTGAGAGCAAACACAATTCCTTTGATCAATCCCATCCAGAATGCTTTCCGGAGCTTACTGGAAGAATGGGTGAACTGGCAGCTGGTGGAGCCATTGGCAAGCCCAAATCAGCAAGTATGTGCCAACATTGTACAAATGCCAAGACAGTTGCCAATTGAGATGAAGGGTTTTAACAGCATGGCAGTTTTCACCTCCAAAGTAGTTTCCATTCCTTCTACACAGATACCCTCCACCCAATTCCACAAGTGGCGAGAAAGTCACAGAAACCTGTTTAGCTCAAATAAGAGATCATGCAAAAAACTAAAATGCATTCTTCTTCTCACTCAGATGACCACAGAGACATAGGAACTCTTTAACATCCTGGGAAAACATTGGTTGAATGTTTACTCAAGAAGGCACATCTCTGTTTTTCTCTGTATCCAGTAGTGATTAATTTGATTAGTTATTTATTAGTTTATTTATCATTTTTAGGTAGTTGTCCTTAACTAAATAATAAAAGAATTATACCTGTAGGTTGGTTTAGAGGCATAAAGCTTTCATAATTCATCCTGCATTCCGTAATTATTATATATTATTTATATACATCTATATTAAAAGCTGGACTGTTGTATAGTTTCAATATGTGAAACCAGTTTTTGTACCGCCCACACATGCAGGGACAAATCAAATTCCTCGGAAACAGAATTGAGGGAATAGTTCAGAAGTCTTTTATTGAACAGAGCAGTCTGAAGATTTAGTAGAAAGAGTAGCTGGCTCTGCCTACTGCATTGCTTTGAAATACATGCTGGAATCATTTCAGTTTTCAAAATTCCTTGTAATTTTTACTGAAGACTCCTTACTGAAAGGAAATGGATTGGACCAGAGCAATTTTAACTTTATTCCTATTTATTTTTGCAATTATGTTCCTTTTGAAAAAGAACAGTTCCAGGAAACCCCCAATTTCCCTCCGGGACCCAGAACTATACCTATTTTGGGAAACATGCACATGATGGATCTGAAGAAGCCTGACAGAACAATGATAGAGGTAAAGCCTGTGATTAACAAGCATGAATATCCTTTGCCAAAATTAGCTAGGATGGGATAAAACCTTAGTAACTTGGTCGGGTAAGTCTCATCTGCTCACTAATAGTTTTCAATGTCTGTGGACATATTTAAAAGTGGACATTTACTATATCCGAATATGATTAAATATCTTGGAAGGATTATTTCAAGGAAATCTTTTTGTGAATGGATGCAACATTTTCTAATTGGATACATAATTTTTGGTACGCCATCACAATTTAAAAAAAAAAAGAAATATACGTGAGCCTAATTATTGATCAATGGTCTCTTTGTTTTCCTTCTGCTGAAGTTCAGTGGTCAAAAGAATATGGTCCTATTTTTTGCATCAAACTGGGATTCCAGGAGATGGTGGTGCTAACCGGCTATGAGACAGTCAAAGAAGCTCTAGTGAACCAGGCTGATGTATTTGCAGATACATTTGTTCCCATTTTTGAAGATACAACAAAAGGGTATGGTGAGTTATTTCATTCTGGATTGTAGTTGACAAACCTTGTAGTTGACAAAATCTGAGCTTTTCATTTGAGGTTTTCACCAGAAGAATCTCAGATGAATGAAATAGCTTCCAGAAATCCAACCAGTATGAAAATACAACTAAAACCTTTCATGTGCCACCATGAAAGGTCCCTTAATGTCAGTGGAGGGACCTGGACATAAAAAGCTGTGTCAATATTGTAATAAGCCCATGAGCCTTGCATGCTGCTTACTAACATGTTTGGTTTTTTTGACAATCACTATATTCTGCATGTCATACATTTTAATACAAATAAAATATTTAATCATATTTGTTACATTTAGCAAACATACAGTACACATATTCACAGTGAATTATAAACTTTCATTATTTATTTCATTCAAATTCTAATTTCCCCTCTTATTATTATTTCTCCCTTCTCTGCCCTTCTTTGTTGTCTAGTTTCCAAAATATCTATTCTTGCCTCTATCTCTCTCCCATAAGAATCTTCCTGGTTCTCTGGTTCCTTTTTTAATTCTCTTGGAATACTCTCCCCTTGGCTTATGTCATCAATCCTTATTATTTTTGTTATTATCTCCTCTTTATCATCTTGTTTCATTTGTTTTGTCTGTTCCATTTTTTCATCTACTTTTTCAGTTGGCTCTTCCTCTTCCTGGGCGTCTTGATCACTCATTGTCCTTTGTGTTATATTTCCCAGCATTCCATCCATGCTTTCTATTCGGTTCATAATTTCCTTAAAATGTCTTATCAGTGTCTGCCTTGTACTTTGAATTGCTGGCATTGTCTCTTCCCAAATTCCACTCCTTTCTCCTTGATGAAGCATCTCATTACATTTTATTGTATCTCTCTTTTGTCCAATAATCCAAAAACCATATAATCAAGCCTATAGTTGTGAAGTTTCCGAGAGATGCCCTAATTAATTCATGAGCCACGAGTCAAACTTCAAAAGAAATACAGTCATTTATTAGGAGCACCATTTCAGCAATATTCGGGTGCAGTTAGAACTAATCCCACGTAGATTTACATTTCCCTATGACCCTGTCTCTCCCCTCCTCCCTGGCCATGTCATAAATCACATTCTCCAATTAACTACTTTGGCTGGCTGTGAAACCCAACACTCTCCTATTGATTGCGGTAAGAAAGCATCTGTGGAATGTAGTTTCAGTTAGGGAAATCAATCAGCTCCATCAGTTCTCACTCCCTTCTGCTCATGGCAACTTGAAAGCTTTGCAAGTTGACACCGGAGCTGTCCACGACTTCAGCCACTGAAGCGTGCTTAATTTTCCCGCTCTAGCTACTAGCTTCTGATTGGTCCTTGTGCCTGTCTATTCAATACTTAACACTCCCCTTCCCAAGTGGATTGTCCAAAAGATGTTTTAGGTCATTCCTAAGCCCTCCCATTCAAATTTAGGGAGCAATACTGTCAGAGAACCAGCTTTGGCACCAAAATCAGCAGATTGTCAGCAGGAAAAGGAAAGATTCCTACTGTTCAGCAACCATCTTGGGGAGGAGCCTCAGGATATTAGGTTTTTCATATATAGGACTAATGAAATGTGATATCTAGATAGTTAAAAGAGGGGCATTATTCCATTTGTTAGCAAATTTGTTGCTGTTGGACTTACTTCCATTCCCCTGCCTTTCAAGACTTGTGCTGTGTTACGCTGATTTTACAGGGAAAAAAAGTATAATAAGCTGTTTTCTCCACCCCTGGAATGCCTGTATTTTGACAAAAAGGCAAAAGTTTACAACATAATTCAATATTGTCTATGTTTCATGCGTTGTTTAAAACATGAATGGTAATGGTCTATAAACTCATGGAATGTTGATTCCAATAGTAGGGAAATCATGAAAAGAAAAGTGCTTTTTCTTTTATTTGGGGCCATTTGTTTCCTTTGCCTTTTATTGTTTTTTGTCTTCTTCAGTTTTCTGTTTCTGATTTTAGCACCAGTTCTAAAGTTTAGCACCAACCAAAATATTCAGGCATCTTAGTTGGTGACTATGGAATCCTTCAGAATTTGGAATCTTTGCATAAACTTCCATTTTAAAACACACTTCAAATAATTTTGGGATCAGTCACCCTCTCTCAGCCTAACCCAACTCACAGCGTGTTGTGGGGAAAATCAGAGGAGGAAGGAGGATTGGGTAGGTTCATCAGTTTGAGTTGTTTATAGAAATAATAAAGATGGAAAATGTTATGTAAATAGGTTTGTTTGGCAGGAAGTTCGAATTAACTGACCCTCAGCTGATTGGCTGACCACTACTGTTGTAAGGTATATAAAGGGAGCTGGCTCCCAGGTTGAGTTGCCGAAGTCTCACCATATAATAAAGAGCTGTTGTCACGAGCTACTCTGGCTTGCTGCGTCCTCATTCACCCAACTTAACAGAAAATATACAAAATGTAATAAAAATAAATAAAGGGTGTAATGGATATGTAGCACTCTTCATATGTCATTAAATTGAGTCATGTCTAATTACAAGGAGGGAGGGAAGCATAGGTACCTCCTTGTCACTATTTTCTTTTCTACAGAGTGATTGCTTTCTGTGCAGCCAAAACTCAACAAGGTTAGGACAAAATTAGTACATTCATTTCCATTCTACCTCCACGTATGTAGAAATTCAAGGGCATAATAATTATTAATGCAAACTCATAGGTATGTTATACATATTGTGGGAATGTGTGGAAATCAATTAAACAAAAAAAAAAGTAAAACAATGTACTTTTAATTCACCCACTGTTCTTTTGTGAATCACAGTCATTTGCCAAGAGGACTGTTCTGAGGCAGAGTTCCATGAACTTTTTGTTACAAAGTGTCTCTTGTTTTGAGTAGAACTTGCACTGTATCAATTAAACCCAGATGACAGAATCAAGGACTGAAAACAAGAGGCGCTGAATTAAAGAGAGCCTCTCTTTTGAAAATATTCAATCTCACAACTATTCCATTCTGCAAAAAATGAAAAGTATGTCCTTAATTGCCACTTGACTGACAGACATATTTATACAATAGAATATAATTTTTTTATTGGCCAAGTGTGATTGGACACACAAGGAATTTGTCTTGATGCATATACTCTCAGTGTACATAAAATAAAAGATACGTTCATCATACATTATATACATCTAAAAAACTGTAGTACAAACATGTGAAACTGGTTTGGTAAGTTTTGTAGTTTTCACTATTTGTGCAACACGTGCCAGGAAAAGATCAAATTCCTATTGGAAAAAAACAAGGGAAAAGTCCAGAAGTCCTTTATTGAACAGAGCAGTCTGAGGATTCAGTAGAAAGAGTAGCTGGGCTCTGCCTCCTGCATTGCTTTGAAATACATGCTGGAATCATTTCTGTTTTCAAAATTCCTTGTAATTTTCACTTACTGAAAGGAAATGGATTGGACCGGAGCAATTTTAACTTTATTCCTATTTATTTTTGCAATTATGTTCCTTTTGAAAAAGAATAGTTCCAGGAATAACAGCTCCCACAATCTCCCTCCGGGACCCAGAACTATACCTATTTTGGGAAATCTGCACATGATGGATCTGAAGAGGCCTTATAGAACATTGATAGAGGTAAAGCCTATTCATTAACAAGTCTCTTTACTGTTATTTGCCAAAACCTATTGGGATGGGACCAAATCCTGGTAACATGGTCGGGTAAGTCTCCCTGATGGTGTTTACTGTATGTAAAATGTTCAAAAACTGGAGATCAAGCTGAATATATTTAAATATTTTATGTTCAAACCCCCAGGGACTTGTGGAGAAATGTAAATGTTCTTAAACTGAATGACTTGATTTCTGTATGTACTTAGAGACATTTCTATATTTGCACTTTAAGCAGAAGTCATTAAATCTATTTCTACAATTTACAATACCACAAACAAAATTTTCTTACAACTGTTTATAAAGAGGAAGAAGGGTAGCATTCCTGATTTTCAGATTTGTTTGCAAGCACATATTTTAAGTTCTGTCCTTAAGGAATTCTTATGATCACCTTCCAAAATCATTAGTGGCACCATTGGAAAGTTTCTGGGTGATCTCTTCCACAACATGTTGGAAGCACAGTTTCTCTTTTATAAAATTCTACTCTATGTCCTCTTAAAAGGCTTAGTGTAATTGCATTTTCCAAACTGAGGAATATAAGTGTATCTCTTTTGCTAGCATTATCACCATGAAGACGGAGGACTCAAATGACACTTGCCATAAATGTAAAGAGATTAGATTACTTGAGGAAAAAGTGAAGCCCCTGGAGCCAAGCCAAGCCACTAAAACTCCAGACACTCTGAGTTTCAATGGTGAACATGATAAACATGATAAACATAACAAACTCCTATTAAATTCAGAAGTCTCTATGTAAACAGAGCATACCAAGGAACATGAATCAGAAGTCTCTATCCAAACAGAACACAGTAAGGAAGATTAAAAGAAAAGGCAAGAGCAATAATAGCATGTCACACTAAGGGCTAAACCCCCCCCCCTCTCCCAAAGAAAAAGATAATGCCTGCCCTCTCTGGATCTGAGTAAATGATTTCATTTTCTACCCAGAAAGCAACCATGTAGACACTTGAAGAAAAGACTCTGCTAAATGTACCAGTGCCAAGAAGAAAAGTAGGTCAGACTTCCCCAAAGGAAAAAACACATACGTATGTTGGTGATCAGAGATTCACTACTTAAAGGAACAGAGTGAAAAATTTGTAGACTAGTCAAATTCTATGGAATAGAGTAGAGAGAATAGAATAGAGTAGAGTAGAGTAGAGTAGAGTAGAGTAGAATAGAATAGAATAGAATAGAATAGAATAGAATAGAATAGAATAGAATAGAATAGAATAGAAGGCAAAACTTTATTTGCCGAAATGCAGTTAGACACACAAGGAATTTGTTTGCAGGGCAGAAGCTCTCAATGTATATGTAAAGCAACAGAATAATAATCATAATGATACTGTTGTAGCGCGGGAATAACGAGAGGCACAAGCAAGCTAGTGACAACAGCTCTTCAATTCAGGGTGAGACTTCAGCAAAGGAACACAGGCAACAGCCCTCCTTATATACAGTTCTGAAATAACCGTTAACCAATCACAAACATTCTATCATTTGAATTTCCCGCACAGAATGGATACATACATAATACCCCTCCATTCCCAGAAGGCACTTATTCTATCTATTTACATATTTACATACAAAATCACACAGGTGACCAGGACGTGACTTTACTCTGGTTGACCTGCGCAGTTCAGTTGTTGGCGAGGCGTCCAGCCGGTCAGAGGGACCTCCTGTCTCTCCTGGCTCCGCCAATGGAACCACCTGGATTTCTCCAGAGGCGTGGCTATCCCCGGCTGGGAGTGTCGACTCGTCAGGCCGGCGCTGGAGCCCAGGCTTACCCGATAAGTAATCCGGTTTACTCAGGCTTGAGATAGCTGTTTTGGGGAAACTTTGGAAGTCAGGTTCAACAATATTTGGATTTTCACAGGTTTCACAATTTAAACGTTTGCACAATTGATCTATGTGCCTTCTCCAAATTTTACCTTCTCCTACATCTACAGTGTATGATTTCGGCCCAGTGATCCCTACAATAGTTTCCCCTATCCATAGTGGACCGCTAGCATAATTTCTTGCGAATACTGGGGTTCCTATTTGAAATTGCCTTAATCCTCTCTCTACCCCCTTGAAGTTATCTTGTGAGTAGTTTGGGTGTAAACGATTGAGGGTGCATCTTAGTTTCCGACCCATTAGAAGTTCTGCTGGACTGCGCCCTGTGGCAGTGCACAGGGTGGCATGCTGTATTGTTAAGAATTGATCGATTCTGGCTTGCCAGTCCCCCGCATCTAGTCGGGAGAGAGCTTCTTTGGTCGTTCTTACAAATCTCTCTGCAAGGCCATTAGAAGCCGGATGAAAAGGAGCTGAGAATGCGTGTCTTATTCCTAACTCGGCCAGGTAGCTTTCGAACTGTGTCGCCATGAATTGGGGCCCGTTATCTGATACCAGGGTGTCTGGTAACCCATGGGTTGCGAATAGCTTCCTGAGGACCTTGATTACCGCCTCAGAAGTGGTTGATGGCATTAAGGCTATTTCCAACCATTTGGAAAAGGCATCAACAATTATTAGAAAATTCTGCCCGTGGAATGGCCCTGGAAAATCAATATGAATCCTCCCCCATGGTCCCTTAGGCTTCTCCCACTCTCTAACAGGAGCTACAGGGGGATCCGGTCGGAACTCCTGGCAGGGTCTGCATTTCCCCACCCATTCCGTAACGTCCTGATCAAGTTGTGGCCACCACACAAAACTACGAGCCAGCCCCTTCATTCTGACTATACCAGGGTGTCCCTCATGTAGCAGGTCTAAAACCCGATGCCTCAATCGCAAGGGAATGACCACCCTATCGCCCCACAATAAACAGCCACCAAGCATAGACAATTCATTCTTTTTAGCAAAAAATACTTGAAATTCCCCACTGTCCACCTTAGTAGGCCACCCTCTCATGACCCAGCCCATAACAGTATGAATAACAGTGTCTCTGGCAGATGCCCTTGCCACCTCGCTAGACGAGATAGGCCCCAGAGAAACAGCATCGAGCAATAAGACAGGGGCTTCCGGTGTCGGGTTCTCCAACAAATCAGGCAATGGGCATTGGCTGAGAGTGTCAGCATGGCCCAGAGTCCGGCCTGGTCGGTGGAAAAGTCAATACGAATAGGCGGCCAGGAAAATGGACCACCTGGTCATCCGGGAGAAAGAGCGGCCGGGGTTGATTTGTCACCAGCCAAAAGTCCCAACAATGGCTGATGGTCCATTACAAGTTTAAAATTCCGGCCAAACAAATATTTGTGAAATTTTTTGACCCCCGCCACAGCCGCCAAGGCCTCCCTGTCCAGCTGGCTGTAATTTCATTCTGCACTGGACAGAGTGCGAGAGTAATATGCAATGGGCACCTCTAACCCATTCGGTAGTCTATGGATCAATACAGCGCCCACTCCAAAAGGGGACGCATCGCAGACAAGAACAAGCGGCAATTCCGAATTGTATTGGATTAGAAAACTGTCCTCCGACAAAAGTTTTTTTTACTGCCTTAAACGCGACCACTTCAACCTTGCCCCAAACCCAAGGAACGTTTTTCCCTAACAATCTGTGTAATGGTTCCGCAATGGTAGCATTCTCCTTAAGGAACATAGTATAAAAGTTCAGAAGTCGGAGAAATGCCTGTAGTTCGGCCTTCGACTTTGGTGTGGGTGCATTTTGGATGGCCCTTACTTTGCTCTCTGTGGGGTGGATACCCGTGCCATCAATTCGGTAGCCCAGAAATTCTACAGACGGTACTGCAATTTTACATTTAGTCTTTTTGAGTTTTAGTCCCGCTTCTCTAAATCTGATGAGAACTTGCCTAACTCTGTCTCCAAGCTGCGCCTCATTCTGGGCACTAATGAGGACATCGTCAAAATAGGGAACAACCCCCGGGAGTCCTTGAAGTAGGCACTCCATGGTGCTTTGGAAGAGCCCTGGTGCAATGCTAACCCCAAACTGAAGTCTAGTGCATTTGAATGCACCTCTGTGCGTTACTATGGTCTGCGATTCTGCCGTAGCAACATCTACCGGCAGCTGCTGGTACTCCTGCGCAAGATCTAATTTAGCGAATATCTTGCCAGGGCCCAGGGAATGAAGCAAATGATGGATGATCGGGACTGGGTACGCGCTCTGTTGGAACGCCTTATTGATCGTGCATTTATAATCAGCGCAGATTCTGATTGATCCATCTGACTTGACTGGCATGACTATTGGGGTTTCCCACTTAGCGTGATCTACAGGAACCAGCACCCCTTGCTTAATCAGTTTGTCAAGTTCTGCGTCTATTTTTGGTTTTAAGGCAAATGGTACTCGTCTTGTCTTCAACCTAATCTGGGCTACGTTAGGGTCTAGGTTAAAAGAAATAGGGGTCCCCATGTACTTGCCTAGCGACTCTTCAAAAACATCCTGGAACTCGTGCAGGAGGCTGTTCTTTAGAGACCGTCCACTGAGGCTCTAGACACCCGTGAAGCCCATGCCGAGGGCTCGAAACCACCCTAGGCCCAGGAAGGTTGGTAGCGACTTGCTGACGATCGTCAGGGGAAGCTCTTTCTGGAATTCGCTGTAGGTGACCCGGAATGTGCCCATGCCTTCCATAGTAACTCAGTTTCCTTGGTAGTTGAGGAGGCGAACTCGTTGCCTTGATAGTTGATTTCTTCAGAGCTTTGGTAGAAGTGATTTAAGCGTTGCCCAGGACATGATTGACAGGGCAGACCCGGTATCGATCTCCATGTCGCATGGTCTCCCTTCAATCTCTACTCTGGTGTAGACTTTTTCCTCTACAGACGTGCTGGCTTGGCCGATTCTTGTGCTGTAGGTGTCTCGCTTTTGATTCTCGCGCTGTTTTCTCGCGCCGCCATCTCTGATTGGCTGGTTCGAATGTGTCGGTTCTGATTGGTCGTTGTGGTCATGTGACTTGTTATTTTTAGGAAATTGAGCTCTACAGACTCTAGCCAAGTGGCCCTTCTTCTCACATCACCTGCAAATGGTGTCTCGATATTTACAGGACTGTGTCTCGTGAG